CTCTTTAAAGTAGAGACACTACATACTGATATGAACCTGAACATCAGCAGGAGAGGACTCTTTAAAGTAGAGACACTACATACTGATATACACCTGAACATCAGCAGGAGAGGACTCTTTAAAGTAGAGACACTACATACTGATATACACCTGAACATCAGCAGGAGAGGACTCTTTAAAGTAGAGACACTACATACTGATATACACCTGAACATCAGCAGGAGAGGACTCTTTAAAGTAGAGACACTACATACTGATATACACCTGAACATCAGCAGGAGAGGACTCTTTAAAGTAGAGACACTACATACTGATATGAACCTGAAATGAGAGTAAAAGGGCCCCTTTAAGTTGGAAGTGCTTTGTTAGGAGTCTTAAGCAGGGACCCACCCACCTCTGTCTTTCTTTGTGGACGTCTTTAGCTCCTCGATGAGCAGGGTGTGCTTCTCCATCTCTCCTGTGTACTGCTCCACCTGCTCGCCCAGTATCTTGATTTGATTATCCCTCTCTTGGACGGCCTTTAAGAAATTCCCGAATAATTTAAATTGATGAGAATGTACAGTATGTGCAAGACAGACTGTTGCAGCTGTACAATTATCTGCACTTTCACCTTTGAAGGAACAGTTATGAAATGAAAGAAGGAGGGAGGGAGGCTGAGGTTAAGAGGCTCAGGACAGAGGAAACTTACAGTGCAGAGCTCATATATGACCTGGCCCACAGCCCAGAGACACGGAGGGAGGGCAGGTTGATAAAGCACGCCAAGGCGAAGAGAGAAAGCACGGAATAGCAAAAAATGACAAATAGATGGAAGAACATGAAATGACAGTCCACTCAGGCTTGCCCTGCTTCTAAGGACACAGATTAAGGAATGCAATGACTTTCCACCCTGTAATAAGGTTTTAAAAGCAGGGTCTGGAAAAACGGAGAAACCTCATTTCAAAGCTACTTAGACATATTTGCCAAGACATACTATTTGAAACTGCTTTACTGGGAAGAAAATACATTGTTATGCATTAGGGTGCTATAACTTTGATATATTAATAAAACAATTACTGTGTGATGTTTTAAAACTGTTAGTAAACTAGTCAACTGTACGTTTAAGTGAGTAAAAATGCATGGTTTGCAGATAATCCTATCTTCCCCATCAATAACACATGTTTCCATGGTGCTAAAAATCAGACTACATAAATCATGATGACCCCCCTGTTTTGGGACAGACCTGCTGCAAGGCGATGATGTTGCTTTTGTCCAAGTCCATCTGGGCGGAGCGCAGCTTTTCCCTCAGATCGCGGATCATCTGCTGGTAAACTAGAACTTCATCGTCCTTCCCAGAAAGCACTCTCTGTGTGAGAGAAACATATCAAGTTAGGCTAATAGAAGGCCCATAATGACCCTGAGGAAGAATACAATATGTGATATACACTTTATTTATTTGGATTTAATTCACTACTTTTATATGTTTAGGTACTTTGTTTTTGAAAGGGTGCAGATTGTTGCTATGGATTTATACTTATGTTATTAGATTGTATTAACATGTGCTTGCCTCTTTATTTAAAGGTGGGGTAGGTAATTCACTTCAGAAACACTTTTTGTTATATTCCATGGAATGTTCTTAACGTCCCGATAGCAATGAATATATTAAATGCTTTGACAATAAATATATAAAAAAAAGTCATCTCTGGAAGCCGTAGCGCTGTAAAAAGCACGACCAATCATCTGAGCCGGCCCGGCTAAAGTAACTGGATGGCCTACCTGCCTGTCAGCCTTCCATCTGTGCACAAACTTATCTCGTGCCCTCATTGGTCATGTGCGCGTTCGTGTGTGTTGGAGGAGGGGCTCTGAAAGGAAGTCTGAAGGAAGGGGCAGATTTTTTTCCGGCTGCGTACTTTCAAATTCTAGCGCACTCGAGCTGGTTTCTCCATTCTTACCTACCTTTAAAGAGTCAAATGATTTAAATATTTAACACAAAGTCAAACAGAACTGTGAAGCGTACACCAGTAAAAAGCTACTTGATGCACCAATATTATCTAGAAATGTCACATGTATAATTATACACACATAAAAGGAATTTTTTCCGCAGAATGATTACTTTCACTTTTTATACTTTAAGTACATTTTGCTGAAGATTATTTTGTACTTCTTCTTCTTCTACCTCTGTCCACATCAGATACGATCCCCAATGTTCCAGTCAAAGAAGAGAACCTGCTCACAATCACAAAAGTTGAGTCCAGCTTTGATGCTACCGCAGCTGATTTAAGCATGACCTCTGGAGCTGCTGCCACCACCACCACCCGCTCTGGTCGTGTGGTGAAGGGCCCCCGGCGACTTGTGACCGATGACAGCCAAACCACTGATTTCACAGACCAGGAAAAAGGCGATAAAATGGCTCCACTTGGCCCCAACGAGGCAGAACGTGGTGTGGATGCTGTGGAGAGCGAAAACCCAGATCAGCTGACTGGTGAAACTGAGGTAGAAGACATAAGTGTTGGTTGATGATTTCTAAGCAAATATGGTGGGTATTATCTCCTTCGTCTTGTGCTATTTGCAGGTATCTGACTTGCAGATTGACTTAAATGACAACAGTGTTAACCAGGGGATGGAGGAAGTAGAAGAAGAAGAAGAAGAAGATGTGGGGGATTTTGAGGCGATCACTGAAGACACAGATGAAGAGTATGTTCCTGTCGAAGAGCCCGGTTCCTTATCCCCGTCCACTTCAACGGCACAGAAGCGCAAGGCTCAGAGTAAAACGGATAAAAGTGAGAATGGAGAGGCCGTGGAGGAAGACTCCAAGAAGGACTGTGTGCTGTGTCCCATCTGTAACAAATCCTTCAGGAGCAAATACTACCTTAAAGTCCACAACAGGTACACACCTTCAGTTATACTTCAACATATTGTTATAGATTAGCGACTAATGGGTCTTTCTCTGTAGGCGACACACAGGCGAGCGGCCCTTTGGTTGCGCTAAATGTGGAAAGAGGTACTTCAGGAAGGAGAATCTGTCGCTTCATGAGGTGAAAGACTGTGCTAAAGTGCAGGTAAGTCGTCTACATCTGTCCTAAATGTCAAGTTAGAATATAAAGAGTGTAACATCAGTGTTTGTGCTGTGTTTACACTACAGACGTACACCTGCGTGACATGCTCCTCCACGTTCAACGGGAAAGTAGAGCTGCGTTTGCACGTTGTGTCCCACACGGGGAATATGCCCCACAAGGTACAGCCTGACACAACAAAAATAGCATTTCAATAAAAATATATCACATTTGAAATGAGCTTCAGTGATATGGTGTCATTTTTTCCAGTGTTCATCATGTCCTGAACAGTTTATGCACAAGAAAAACTTGACGATTCACATGATGAAGGTCCATGGTCATCCCAAACCACATGCAGTGAGTCCTCTAATGTTTATTTGACTAACTGGTGATGTATCTACAGTAGTAGTGTTTTTTTTTAGCTTAAAGTGGACCTATCATGCTATATTTGAATAATATAGTGTAGGACCATACCTATATATAAGGCATATTTATACTTTTCATTTTTCAAAATACCAAACA